GGACACAGACAATACATTGAACCAATCAAAACTCGAAGTAATTACATGTGGCTGACGCAAAGCGCGGGAAAATGCATGCGAGCGCGTCACAATTGGCTTTGGTTTTACTTCTGATTGGATGAAAAGGTGGCGCGAATCTTTTAAGCCAATCGCATCGTGTAGAAAGTGCAAAACCAATTACTTTTCGACACTCAAATGAAAACCGCTCTATTCGAACACACACTAGGTTTAACTACTATCGTTTGAACAACCCGGAGCCTAGGTAGAAGAAACCAAAGCCAAACGCCTCACTATTTTTGTTTTTAACACACGCGACAATAATGTTCTAGAAACAAATATTAAGTAACTTTTACTTGAAGTTATAGTTCATGACGGCTTGGCTTTAGCGTTCGCTGCAAGCAGCCAAATTAAATGAGTGAATTAAACTCAGTGGTTTTTATTTCAATATTTTTCATTCATTTAGAAAGCTTAAAGCTTTATTCCCTCCGGGGGACGTTAATTATATTACAAGGTTAGAGACTCCTAGTTCGTGATTAACTGCCTCGAGCAGCATTTGACTGATTTCTCCGCGTACATGCTACAGCTAGAGCACGTGTGTATTTGCTGATAAATCACGTATCACCAACACAAGTACATAACACTCTTCAATCGCCCAATGAACTTCTAGAATTTCGTATAACGTAAGAAGCTGAAAGATTTAAAGACAGGTTAAAAACTTCCTCAGATGTTAAAAAGTGATTTTTCCCCACTGGCTTGCTCCAGCTATTGATCGTTATTGGAAACTAACAGATATTCTTCATCTGAGGTACTTTAAGTACTTATAGCGTTCTTCTTCTAGAATTGTATTAAAGTTCTTTTTTAAGAACGTTATGAACATTTTGCAGTTTTTAAAAGGGCCGTCATTTAAAAGAAGTCTGACTACGTGACAGCGTTGGCTAAGGACATGATACTGTTGACTTCCATAACAGTGTTTATAAAGAAGTTATAGCCTGCTTGCCCCCTGCCCCCATACAGTCATACTACTCACAACAAGCAGTATTTAAATGCTACGGCTAGAAAACTGAAAATGAATGGAACAGGATTTGTTTAACTCTAGTTATACTCCTGAGCATTTCGATATTTCGTGACATCTATCATTATCTGGACGATCAGGCCTATTATACAAAACATATTTTTACCACAAATATATTCAACTACAGTGTTTAGAACCTTCGATTTCTTTTTTGGTTGTTACGGCAAAACGTCCTTCAACTGAAACCTATAGCGACAATTTGAACCAGTTTAAAAACACAGAAACGTCTTTAATTCATAAAATCAATTTCATGTGGAATAGTTTTACGTCAAGAACAAATAATCCTGTGTAAATTCTGTACATTTTCGCGAATAGTCGTGTACTATAAATTCTGTAAATTTTCCCCGAGCATGCAAATGGATCGCAAATGTGAATATTTATCATTTGTTATATGCAAATCTAATTCGAACGATTGCGTGTTATTACCGCAGACAAGCCATATTGTCACATTGGTGGGCTTGTCAACATGGTTTTTGGAGTGGCTTGAAAACGTGCTAGACAAGCATACCGTTTGTATGACTGAAAAGAAAAGGAAAATTTTTCCGCTTTTAATTCTTTCAATTCATTATTTGACTTATGTTAATTCAGAAAAACTGATAACATTCCCTAGATTAAGTCAGCAAAAAGATTACTGTTCAGAAAATCTCCTTCACCACCAATGTCTATATTTGAGCTTGAATGCTAGAATACTTTTATACCTGCTTCCAGAAACTTTTTCTAAGTGCGAATCAAAAGTTAATGTAAACGTTTTATAATATTTATTTCATGACTATGCATGCAAACGGCTGGTATTGAAACTCGAAAATCGCCACCGTCAAAATTAAAATGTGAATACCATATCAGTCAAATTCTGGACTCGCGTTTTCGTCAAACAAAATAAGAAACGAAAATGGTACTTGCATATCCCTAAGCCCAACAAAGATCAATTAAACACGCCTAAAATTGTTTGAAAAATTTTTTGCGCAAGACCTGGTCCTGTAAGAGTTTGAATTTTCTAAAAACCTTGTCCTTTTAAACACGAGATATTGCTTCATATTCAAAGAATCAATCTTCGAAAAGAAAACTCGAGCCATCTTTTCAACTGTTAAGAGAAACACGACAGGGGTGTAGAGGTAAATTTTCGCGCAGGTGCGCGAGATTAGAACGTGGTCCATCTGTTACCTGACGCTCAGCTCTCGCTAAAAGAGCGATTTATCAAGCGTTTAAAGCAGTGTTAAGGGCCACCAGCACGGTGCCGTTTTAGTTTTCAGCAATGTTTGTAAACAAAACTCGCGTTGCTAACGAACAGGAACTTTAAAATATTGATGCGACAATTATTGGCGACAGTGTTTTTCTGTAGATTCGTGAAAAATATACATTTGTGATAAATGTGTCAGACGCAACACAGAGAAAAATCATCCTTGGCTTAAGGCAAGTGATGCGAGATTTTTTTTGTTGGGTTTTAATAATAAATAAGCGGAGAAGGCAGGAAAATTTTGATGTAATCAAATTTCAAGAGGGTGTCAAAGTTCTCTGACTTTTAATCCTTACTAATTCTTCTACTGAGAAGTTAGCAAGCTAAAACAGTTCAGTATACAGAAGCTGCAGCCAGACCGCGTGGCGGCTTCAACTTAAAATTATCATTTTCCTCTCGTGTGGCCTTTCTTGCATAGAACAATAATACGGAAGAGTCTTTGTCATAGTTATTCTAATTTACACGTGTTTAAGGCCATGCTACGATAGCGGGAGACCGAAAATAGATGTATTTAGCCTCTCTTTGATAAAACGCAATTACGTTACTCCATCGTATTGACCGTAGTTGTATTCGTTTAAGTTTTGCGGTTGAAGCAACGTGCTTTAACAAACTGACCAAAAGGGAAATAACATAACAGGAAAATTGTTACGAGTAAAATAGAGCTTAGGTTGAATTTACTCAACGAGAAAATATTCTGGTAAGTTCTTTTCCCCTACGGACCAAACTGTTCGATGAAAGGTTTTATTTTTTACAGGCTGTTTTCGATAATGTCTCGATTTTTGATGTTACTATAACTACAATGGTTTATTTGTTACGCTCCGCAGGCAAGGCACAAAGTCTTCTAGACTCATCTCCAATGAAGCAAATTGAGAACAGCGACAACCACGAAAGCGTGAATGGCGCAATGGAGGCAGCGACGCAGATTTACCCCCGCGTTCCAAGAAAGAAAACGTCGGAGCAGCAAGCCGTGGTTGATGAAATCATGGAGGTTGTTGCTGATCAAGGCCGGCGATTTTCGCTTTCAAGGACTGACTATAGAAATCAAAAGCGAATCGAGATTGGCTTAAGGCGCCAAAAAAGAGTAACAAGCGACGGATCAAGCTTTGATGACTCAAGCTCTTGTGCAAGTTCATCGGATCTTTCAACCTCGCCTCCTCCTTCTCGACAGAGCAGTGTTTCAAGCTTTTCAGACGAAGGCGGAAAAATATTCGAGTTCAGTAGCCGTCCACGGACTCTTCCTCCCTTAAACCGGAGTAGAACACATCGGCCTTGTCGGCCAATGCCACCTAAATTTGATTTTGATGAAGAAAGAGAAATTAATTGCACAAGCAGATTGTCAAGACCAATGTCAGCTATGGGGCACCGCACACGCCCCCAACGAGGTTTTACACTTTAATTCAGGCCAAAGACTTTTGGTTTATTGAGATACATTTAGCATTTAAAACAGATGCATGTTGTTAATACCACAACTAACCGTCAGCTGATCAGCTGAACTGTAGCTTGGTTTTGACTGCAATTTCTGTTTTCGCCATCATCAAAACGTTTTTCAGAAACACACCACGGCAAAAGGAACAGCAATATAAATGGTGTCGCAGTGACGAAGTTAGGCGATATTGCCAAACGGTTGATCCCTGGACGAAATATTTACTTAAACATCGAACTTGCTTGATGGCATTTCTATTGAAAGTTAGAATAGCGGATAAAAAAGTAACAAGGGGGCATTATTAGAAGCAAAAAAGGAGTATTGTTAAAGGAAAGGAAAGCTGAGGGGGAAAGACGATGTCAACGTCTGATATTTAATAAGCCGCCGATTTAAATATGGCAAGCCAATATCAGAAATTACTGAGCGAATGTTGTGAAAGAGTTACTCCAACAAGAGCCAATCTTGGATGTTTGTTAACAAAGGTTAATTTTTTAGTCGGTGTTAAATTAAAGACTTTAGGCTAACGACAGGAAAAAAAGAAAGAAAAACAGAGAATAAAAAATTTTCAATCAGGAAAATTTGGCACTCACTTTTCAACTCGTATTGTGATGCTGAAAAGAACTAGAAAGGAATTAACTACAAGATATTAATTTAACTAAATCCGCNGTCTCGATTTTTGATGTTACTATAACTACAATGGTTTATTTGTTACGCTCCGCAGGCAAGGCACAAAGTCTTCTAGACTCATCTCCAATGAAGCAAATTGAGAACAGCGACAACCACGAAAGCGTGAATGGCGCAATGGAGGCAGCGACGCAGATTTACCCCCGCGTTCCAAGAAAGAAAACGTCGGAGCAGCAAGCCGTGGTTGATGAAATCATGGAGGTTGTTGCTGATCAAGGCCGGCGACTTTCGCTTTCAAGGACTGACTATAGAGTTCAAAAGCGAATCGAGATTGGCTTAAGGCGCCAAAAAAGAGTAACAAGCGACGGATCAAGCTTTGATGACTCAAGCTCTTGTGCAAGTTCATCGGATCTTTCAACCTCGCCTCCTCCTTCTCGACAGAGCAGTGTTTCAAGCTTTTCAGACGAAGGCGGAAAAATATTCGAGTTCAGTAGCCGTCCACGGACTCTTCCTCCCTTAAACCGGAGTAGAACACATCGGCCTTGTCGGCCAATGCCACCTAAATTTGATTTTGATGAAGAAAGAGAAATTAATTGCACAAGCAGATTGTCAAGACCAATGTCAGCTATGGGGCACCGCACACGCCCCCAGCGAGGTTTTACACTTTAATTCAGGCCAAAGACTTTTGGTTTATTGAGATACATTTAGCATTTAAAACAGATGCATGTTGTTAATACCACAACTAACCGTCAGCTGATCAGCTGAACTGTAGCTTGGTTTTGACTGCAATTTCTGTTTTCGCCATCATCAAAACGTTTTTCAGAAACACACCACGGCAAAAGGAACAGCAATATAAATGGTGTCGCAGTGACGAAGTTAGGCGATATTGCCAAACGGTTGATCCCTGGACGAAATATTTACTTAAACATCGAACTTGCTTGATGGCATTTCTATTGAAAGTTAGAATAGCGGATAAAAAAGTAACAGAGCGCATTATTAGAAGCAAAAAAAGGAGCATTTTTAAAGGAAAGGAAAGCTAAGGGGAAACGCGATCGTCTGATATTTAATAAGCCGCCAATTTAAATATGGCAAGCCAATATCACAAATTACTGAGCGAATGTTGTAAAAGAGTTACTCCAACAAGAGCAAATCTTGGATGTTTGTTAACAAAGGTTAATTTTTTAGTCGGTGTTAAATTAAAGACTTTAGACTAACGACAGAAAAAAAAGAAAGAAAAACAGAGAATAAAAAATTTTGAATCAGGAAAATTTGGCACTCACTTTTCAACACGTATTGTGATGCTGAAAAGAACAAGAAAGGAATTAACTGCAGAATATTAATTTAACTAAATCCGCTGCGCTTCCTTTATTAAAATAACTCCAACCGTACGTGACAGCTCACAGTTTTTTTTTGAAAGAATAGTGCCAGGGAGGCAAAAACTGATCATTCTCAACGCAAAACAAAAACTGTCGAAATGTAAATTTGTTCTGATATTACATTTATTAGCTTTCCTGAATACATTGTCAAAACAATAAATATGTATATTATATCACAGCTAAAAAAGAAGTGGAATAGATTCGAGTCTTAGAGTATTAAAATCAAGGGGGTTATGAAATGAAAGAATTGTTAATACTCAATAGAATATTTGTTTATAGTAAGTTATTTCCCTAAAATAAAAGTAAGCGAAGCAGCACCGTTTGTATTTCCATGATATGAATATGCTAAATAGTCGGTTAGACAACTAGTACACAATAGTCTGTTATGTGTGTTCTGTTAGAGATAATGTCGGTTTTTCTACTTTTTGTGCGAAAACTGAAGAAAATTTTCAGTCTCGAAGGAAAGTCTACTCATCGGTGGAAAATTCGAGAACTAAAAACATCACATAGACAAGCCACTTGATCAAACTGCTGGTCAGGAGTTATCGTTCTATTGACACTAACGTGGTCCTTGTTCCGTCACTACGTGTTAGAGCGAAAATTAACAAAATACAGCTGGTGATGTTTATCGACCCAAATGCTTTAATTGACTCGTAATAAGGCCGGAGTACTCGAGACAATTCACCTTCCACCGATTTTTTTCTCTTCTAGAACGTTAATACAAGAATGTTGTTGTTGTTGTTTCTTTTTTAACGGCGACTCGGCGAAAACAAAATCGATGCTCGTTTAGATCCCCTTTCCATGAAGCTACACAGGCAGCACCCAACGACGTCTTCCTCCTACAGCTGCTCCTAAATACATTGAAAACACCTTTTAGGCTATCCAGAGTACTTTGAGATCTCTAGAAATGCATTCTAAGCGGCGCTATAAAATTTGTATCTGTTGGGTCATCCTAGGGCAACTTAAGTCTTTTCGAAATTATTAGCTAAGAGCTTCAGCATAACTTTCCCGAAAATTTTAAATGTAATTTGACGTTTCACGAAAGTGAGAATTTTACTATTTCCCACCTTCATCGGATTGTTGAATTCGAAAATTTTAGGTTTCCTTTTTACTACGAAAAATAGTCAAACCTGGGGAGTGAAATGTAAAAAAATTAAACTTCAGAAAATCGTAGGGAACTTATTAAATAAGTTTCGAAAATTGTAAAAGAAGGAACGGATACCTAGAAATTTTTAGCCATCCTAATAAGTAATGGAAAATTCTAGGCAATATTCGCTTCTCCGAACAGATATTTAACAGAAATAGTCGCTGGGTGCCCCTGGCTACACGCGATTTAGTCGATTGTAGACACAACTGATGTGGCAGTTACTTGTCATCCATTTTCGCTATGTAAAACACTTGTTGATGTTTTCCATTCAAATACAAATTTCTCTTTTGTCTGCCAGCACCCATTTATATTATTCACTCAATATCTTTGACATTAAAGAAATTCATTATACATTTTCACTATTGTCGTTGCCAATCGACCGACAAACCCAGAGGGCCCAAAGCATTTGTCGATCATTTTTGTACGTACGGGGTCGATAGAGCCAACACATGCTTAAAATTATTTAGATAAGGAGTAAACGTAAGCGAACTCTTTTTTACGACTGTTCTTATACATGATCAGCAAACAAATAAATATTTCAATGCCCCATTCACAACAAAGCTGTTTAGTTTAACATGGTTTAATATTTTTTCTTGACAAGTTTCTCACTGATGTTTGTCGATTGCAGGTTGAGCAGGAATTGAATAACAAGTTTTAGTAAAATCCAACCAGTGGTCTATTATCAATGCTACGTTCTGATTGGCTGAGCTACTACTAGGCTATATGTTATAGCCCACTAGTAGCGAAAAGCGCGAGCTTTTTGGCGGCAAAAAAGGATTAAAGTCTAGCTTTAACGAGCTAAAAGTTTTTTATTCCCTTCGGCCTCATGGGCTATTGACTCAGAGCCCATTCGGGCTCGAGGAATAACTGTTAAAAAGTAGCTTAAAGTACAGTTGAAATATGCATGGATTCATATTGAATATAATTTAAAGACTTTAGCCAAAGATCGTCCTTTCACTGAGCGTTCAATGTTTCTGGGGCCCTTTATGCTATCTAATAAACGATTCCGCTAACATTTTTTGCACTTAAATGAACGTTATGGAGCGGAGCAGAGAGCAGAGCTTGGTGCTGTCGTAATGAAAACCCTACAATGGCAAAATGACTCGTGAAGTTGAGTGGTTTGATGGGTTGGCAACTCACCGCTGGACTTGAGGGTTTTGAAAAAGAATGTAAAATTGACATAGTTTAGAGGTAGGTCAGTAGACAACTCGCCAGTCTCCTTGAAGTTTTTAGAAAAGAGGAAGGTATAAAGTTTAGGGGCTTAGCAGTTTGCCTGCTAGCAACCTCAGTAGGTCTGCCATCACGCTGTATTATACAGCTATTTCGAGAAAGGTTGTCGGAAAAAGTGCAAGCGACAATCCCGAAAAGTATTCTGGGTAGTNCACACCACGGCAAAAGGAACAGCAATATAAATGGTGTCGCAGTGACGAAGTTAGGCGATATTGCCAAACGGTTGATCCCTGGACGAAATATTTACTTAAACATCGAACTTGCTTGATGGCATTTCTATTGAAAGTTAGAATAGCGGATAAAAAAGTAACAAGGGGGCATTATTAGAAGCAAAAAAGGAGTATTGTTAAAGGAAAGGAAAGCTGAGGGGGAAAGACGATGTCAACGTCTGATATTTAATAAGCCGCCGATTTAAATATGGCAAGCCAATATCAGAAATTACTGAGCGAATGTTGTGAAAGAGTTACTCCAACAAGAGCCAATCTTGGATGTTTGTTAACAAAGGTTAATTTTTTAGTCGGTGTTAAATTAAAGACTTTAGGCTAACGACAGGAAAAAAAGAAAGAAAAACAGAGAATAAAAAATTTTCAATCAGGAAAATTTGGCACTCACTTTTCAACTCGTATTGTGATGCTGAAAAGAACTAGAAAGGAATTAACTACAAGATATTAATTTAACTAAATCCGCTGCGCTTCCTTTATTAAAATAACTCCAACCGTACGTGACAGCTCACAGTTTTTTTTTTGAAAGAATAGAACCAGGGAGGCAAAAACAGATCATTCTCAACGCAAAACAAAAACTGTCGAAATGTAAATTTGTTCTGATATTACATTTATTAGCTTTCCTGAATATATTGTCAAAACAATAAATATGTATATTATATCACAGCTAAAAAAGAAGTGGAATAGATTCGCGTCTTAGAGTATTAAAATCAAGGGGGTTATGAAATGAAAGAATTGTCAATACTCAATAGAATATTTGTTTGTAGTAAGTTATTTCCCTAAAATAAAAGTAAGCGAAGCAGCATCGTTTGTATTTACTGGACGAACCATGATGTGAATGCTAAACAGTCGGTTAGACAAATAGTACACAATAGTCTGTTATGTGTGTTCTGTTAGAGATAATGTCGGTTTTTCTAATTTTTGTGCGAAAACTGAAGAAAATTTTCAGTCTCGAAGGAAAGTCTACTCATCGGTGGAAAATTAAAGAACTAAAAACATTACATAGACAAGCCACTTGATCAAAATGCTGGAGTTATCGATCTATTGTCACTAGCGTGGTCCTTGTTCCGTCACTACGTGTTAGAGCGAAAATTAACAAAATACAGCTGGTGATGTTTATCGACCCAAATGCTTTAATTGACTCGTAATAAGGCCGCAGTACTCGAGACAATTCACCTCCCACCGATTTTTTCTCTTCTAGAACATTAATACGAGAATGTTGTTGTTGTTGTTTCTTTTTTAACGGCGACTCGGCGATCCCCTTTCCATGAAGCTACACAGGCAGCACCCAACGACGTCTTCCTCCTAAATACATTGAAAACACTTTTTAGGCTATCCAGATTACTTTTAGATCTCTAGAAATGCATTCTAAGCGGCGGTATAAAATTTGTATCTAGTCGGTCATCCAAGGGCAACTGAAGTCTTTTCGAAATTATTAGGGCTTCAGTATAACTTTCCCGAAAATTTTGGATGAAATGTGACGTTTTACGAGAGTGAGAATTTTCGTAATTCCTACCTTCATCGGATTGTTGAATTCGAAAATTTTAGGTTTCCTTTTTACTACGAAAAGTAGTCAAACCTGGGGGGTGAAATGTAAAAAAAATTAAACTTCAGAAAATCGTAGGGAACTTATTAGATAAGTTTCGAAAATTGTAAAAGAAGGAACGGATACCTAGAAATTTTTAGCCATCCTAATAAGTAATAGAAAATTCTAGGCAATATTTGCTTCTCCGAACAGATATTTAACAGAAATAGTCGCTGGGTCCCCCTGGCTACACGCGATTTGGTCGATTGTAGACACAACTGATGTGGCAGTTGCCCGTCATGCATTTTCGCTTTGTAAAACACTTGTTGAGGTTTTCTATTCAAACACAAATTTCTCTTTTGTCTGCCAGCAACGATTTATATTATTCACTCAATATTTTTAACATTAAAGAAATTCATTATACATTTTCACTATTGTCGCTGCCAATCGACCGACAAACCCAGAGGGCCCAAAGCATTTGTCAATCATTTTTGTACGTACGGGGTCGATAGAGCCAACACATGCTTAAAAATTATTTAGA